CCCTTCCTTTTATCCCTCCCTCCAAAAAAAATAAAAAAAATAAAACACTCGTTTTCTTTCACCACTCCCGCCAAAATACCCAACCTGCCTGGTCACAGATCGAGGCCCAAGTTCTCAAATTGCTGTGGAAACGAGACACAAGAGAGAAAGACAAGGCTCTGGAAGCGAAACAGTTGCAGATAGAGCAGGCGTATGAATATGAGGTAAAACAATTTATTATTTCATATACGTAATTTAAAAAATAGTCCTAATATATTATATATCTACATTATAGAGCTTACATTTCCATAAATCTGATGAATTTACCTTGCCATTGTGCGTATCGTTTACTTGATGCAGTGGCGTCTGCTTAAACTGAAATCTCCAGGACAGCCGGATTTTCTTCGGTTTTGCAAAGTACTCGGTTTAAATTGGTTCATCGAATAGTGGGGAAAATAACGGTTTTTCATTTACTTTAAGTCAACAGCTGTTTCCTCATTAATTGTGCTCAGTAAAGTGAAATCCGCTGTATTATCTCTACATATTATATTTGTGAACGTTCGTCACTTTGGATGCCTAAAACTTCCGAACCACTTAACTTTCGAATTTTAAAAAATAGCGGTGGTTCAGAATCATTTAAAGGGTGCTCAGTTTTATTGAGGAGTCTGAAGTCACGGTAGTTTAATTTTCCGTTTTTCTTTAGTTTCGTTTAGATCTAATCTTGGGAAAGTTCGTCTTCTCAGACACCATTGTGAACAAGTGAGGCTTCCGATCACAAGCTGTGCGCACTGTTTCCACAATGACTTGATGACCGACGATTCTTTTAAGTCCATTCCTCGAACGTGTACCAAGCTAGTTATTATATTATAACAATGTATTGTGTACACTCATCTGACGGTTTATTGTGCACATTTGGACATTAAATGTTTAGACATTTTTGGTTTAATGTTCGCTTTCTCTCTTTCATTCATTTTTTGTTGTTGAGTTAAGTCTATAATAATGCTAAGATGTTCCGTTTGTTGGAATATTTCATCTTTAAAAAGACTAAACTGGAATAGATATAATATCATCATCATCATCATCATCATCATCTCATCATCATCATCATCCAGTGCCAGATTTGCCACAGACATCGGCGATCATGGTTTTCCATTCATTCCTT